CGATGATTGCAATTTTATTACTCGATTAGGTTATATTTTATATTCGTACCGACAATACAACTACTGACATGATGAAACGGGATAGTCTAACACAGTGATTTGACAAAAGAAGTAATAAAGATCGATTTTGCAGAACGGAACATTCACCCTAATTTAGTCAGTAAGCAACTGGCACGCAAGGTGGTCAAACGGGATTCCCATCGTGGCTATTCTTAACCAGACCAGGCTAATATTGAATTCACTCGATTATTTCCAGCTATACTAACTTCGAGCAATAAACATAACTGTTTTTACGAATTTTTAATTCCTTTCCGCGACCCATTACACACATCCGCACGAATAGACGGCGATTCGCGTAGAATTTGTTTATTTCTAACAGGTCTCGTTAAATCACGCGTTACCGTGTAGAACATTCATTTTACAAAAACCAACTGAAGCGAAGACGGATTTTACGTACAGACGCTAATAAGCTCTGCACGCGTGAACGTGCACACATCTGTAGATGAGCTTACAAAAAAAAAAAAAAGCCAATGATTATCGTAATAGCTAACATGAACGATTTCATTTCACATGGTAACATCGAAACGTGCGTAATTATATTTATTTGAACACTCTTACGGAAATCTTGGAATTTCGTTGGGAGATTGCGTGATTGTTGAAGTACTTCCAAGTCATTCTATCTATGTAACATTTTTTTGTAAAACGATACTTTAAGTCAAACAAGCGTCAAACCGATAAATGATTGTTACCAGGAAAAGTGGAAACGGACCAACGTAAACCGTGCTTGAACATAACCTTATTTTTTAAGGGGAGCATCTTGTTTGTCAAGCTGTTCAATCTGATTCTCCGAGTACGAAACATTTGCAGTCGTGAGATCGAAGTTTACTTGAGCTCAAGTAATCAACAATATTACGATAAATGTTATAATAAATTCAACAAATGCAGCGAAATACTCGCGACTCGTAAGGATTCGTAAGGATCAGCCAGCGAAGTACACGGTCCGCTTGTCGAAAAGGAGGGAAGAGCGGTGGGATTTTTCAGTTGAGAGGCAAGACGAGACGAAGATCACGGGGAAGAAGAATGCTCGGGTTAAAAATAGCAGCGCCTCATTTTCAAATAAAAAGTGATAAGCAACCTGCAGGATAACGATTAAGGAGGAGGGTGAAGAAGGGAGCGTGAGAGAGGGACAAGAAAAGGAGCGGTGCAGAGCAGGAGCAGAAGAGATTGGCCAGTTCCACAAAATGAATCAAAAGAATGGCTGGTTGGCGAAACGAAGATGTACAAAAGCAACTACGACCGAACAGTTGGGCGCAGGGGAAAGAAAAAGAGAGAAGAAAGATGCTCGCCGATAGAAGATCTTGGCTCATTGGAACATAATACATCGGCTATAACGCACGCATGGATGGTGGTCAAGCTTGGCTCGGTTTGGTCGAAGTAAAGGTGAGAAAACCGGTGGTGTGTATGCACAGGGTCTGGAAAGAGGACTCTCCCACCCCGTGTTAACTTTTACCCGTGTATTTTTCGTTTAGGTTCTGCTGGCTGTACGTACAATCAAGTGCATCTAGCTGCAGAACCGCCGAGTGAACCTACCTGTTCTATCTTCCGCCACGAGACCGCAACAGCAGCATGTTCAAGGCACAGATCTGATCGAAACTATCGTACGTAATCTCGATGGATATTTTTCGATAAAAAGATAGTAATCGTATCGCGTGAGATCGCAGCAGGATTTCGCGATAATATCGATCGCGTTTCAGGATCCGTGTGTACAACACGCGCGGCGCGGCACGCGTAACGTATATGCATGCACGAAAAATGAATCTTATCGAGTTTCGCACGTAGTCCCGCCGTTTCTACAGAAAATCTTTTTACATTTACATAAGCAAACGTGTGCGTTTATGTAAGCGATGGAAATCACTTATCGAATTCGTATCTGTCGTAGCGTTCTAACGTTCTAGCCAACTTGTTCGATAGTTTCTTTTATTTGTTTTGAAATTTCATCCTTAAATGCTTCGGCACATTGGATCGAAATCGTCGCACCGCAGTACGTTTGAAATAGTAAAATAGTAAGTTGTCACGCGCGAGAGAAAGTATGTGTCCATTTGTCATCGTTTGCTTCCCTTTGGACATTACATAAACATACATATCAATGTAAAAACATTGTTTTCGCGTATTATACTTTGAATAATGTATACTGTAGTTTCTCGCCTTTTTTTTTTTTGTTTCCTTTGCGTCGTAGATCGTCATCGATAGACATGTTATGTTTTGTTCGATACGTACGGGTTGTACAGTAGCTTGCAAAAGTATTATCCATATAAGTGTGTTGACACGAACTGAATTTATTCTGAAATTATAATCAATATATTGCAACAGCACTATCAACTAACAAATGTTCACGATGACCATCAGATTTCTATTTTATCTAATACGATTATTTTTATCCCTCACTATGGCAACCAAATTTACATTGTAAAAAGATTTCTGCGAGGTGCTTTCGCGAGTTTTTGTACAATGGTAAAATACGAAACCGTGGAACCTTGAAACGCCTGTATAATACAGAGACTAGGATGCAACAGTATATACCGACGGAGAAAGTTCTCACAAGAGAGTTGAAATACTTTGGCCATCCACGTACTGCGGATAGTACGTTGGTACGGAGAATTGAAATTCTATTGTCGAAACGGTTGTCTGTCAGTGTGCAAAGGCCAGTTTTACGGATATCGGCGGCGTGATTTATTGGTTCGGCAGAAACTATCGCGCGAACGATAGGACGCCACGCGATTTATGATGTTAACCATTTTGGTTTGGTTAAAGCCGAGGGCAACCTTCGGGTGTCCCTCCGCCTCCAGCTCGAGCTGGACTGAAAGAAAAGGAAGAGGGAAAGGAACGAGTTCTCCGATGCCTGCGCACAGTCTAGTTCAAGACTCACGATGATAGTGAACGTCCCGTGAAGATTCCACCGGCCGGGCTGCCCTTCTCTCTACCTAAATAAGAATAATACTAGTGTCACCGAGCGTGTCTAGTGGACGGGCCACTTGGTTTGCACAGGTCGCGGAACTTCTACAGGTCAGTGCACGTTTCGGTTACGGCTATTATCCCGGCACCGTCCTTGCAGAATCGTCTATAACCATAAATTACTCACATTTGACGTTCGATCGGGACTCTACACGTATTTTTTTTTTTTTTTTTTTCTTTCTTTGTAATTTCAATCTTTAATATTTATTCATTTATTTTCGTTGATAGGTAAAGGACGATATTTCTTAGAATTTCTTATCAGTGCAATGAAACGCGGTGAATTTTTTTTTTTTTTAAATTAATTTAATTCGATGCTTATTATTTGTGTCAAAAACATAAAACATGAGATTCTGTGTTTTTATCGCGTAACGCGTAAAATATCGTTTTTTTTTTTTTTTTTTTTTTTTTAAATCTT